CTCTCTCTCTCTCTCTCTCTCTCTCTCTCTCTCTCTCTCTCTCTCTCCCTTTATAACCAACCCAGAGACCCTTATTTGCATACACTGAAGTGGTCGCCCTGCACGAATGTACCACAAAGTTCTGTGCCAATTTAGACTGTGATGTTGGTAGCATATGGGCAATTTTAACATCCTGAGCAATGGCAGCAGCATATGACATAGACACAGAAATAGGTATATTCATGCATGTCACATACAAACTACAGTTTTAGGTACTTAGTTGAACATTGTCTCCTACCCTGGCACAGAGGCACATATGTATACTCTTAATAGCCAGGAGACCCAGGCAAGAGGACGAGTCCAAAGCCAGCAAGAATGACGCTGTGAGACACTATCTCAAAAATAAAACTAGCGGGTCTGGAGAGTTGACTCGGCCGTTGTGAGCACTTGGTCTTCCTGTGGAGGACCCAGGTTTGATTCCCAGCACCCACATGGTTATGTCTGTAACTCCAGTATCATGGCTATCCATTACCCTCTTCTGACCTCAGCAGGCTCCAGCCAGCCACGTGGTACACATACATACATGCAAGCATACGCATCATTTTTTTTTAATTAAAAAAGACAATTCGCCGGGCGGTGGTGGCGCACGCCTTTAATCCCAGCACTTGGGAGGCAGAGGCAGGTGGATTTCTGAGTTCGAGACCAGCCTGGTCTACAGAGTGAGTTCCAGGACAGCCCGGACTACACAGAGAAACCCTGTCTCGGAAAAAAAAAAAAAAAAGACAATTCATGGCCAGCCTCAGCTATATATTAAGCTAAAGGCTAACCTGGGTTATACAAGACCCTATGTCAAGTATGGGGAAGGGGACCCACTAGTCTTTTAATAAAATTATAGCCAGGTGGTGGTGGCACACATCTTTTATCCCAGCACTCAGGAGGCAAAGACAGGTGGGTCTCTCTGTTTAAGGCCAGCCTATTCTACATAATAAGTTTCAGAACAGCCAAGGCTATGCAGAGAAACCCTGTCTCTAAAAACCAAAGCCAGACCAAACAAACAAACCAAGAGAGAGAGAGAGAGAGAGAGAGAGAGAGAGAGAGAGAGAGAGGAGAGAGAGAAACTGTTGTCTTTGCTTAAGAAATACCTGATTTTGATTTTGAACTGGAGAGATGGTCAGTAGATAAAGTGTTTACCATGCAAATGTGTGGTCTCGAGTTTGAACCTCCAGACTTCACTGAAAAGCCAGGCAGACACTTGTAATCAGCATATCAGCATTTGGGGAGGCAGAAATATGGAATTCCTGGAGCAAGCTGGCATGGATACACACACACACAAGCTGGCATGGACACACACACACAGAGAAAAACTGGCATGGCCACACATACACACACACAAGCTGACATGGACACCCACACACACGAGTGCGTGCGCACAGATACACACAAAAGCTGGCATGGATGCACACATACACACAAGCTGGCATGGACACACACACACACAAATACACTAACTCAAACATACATATACTCAAATTTAACTTTAAGAGACAATGTTATGAATGGGTTTTGTTGCTTTGTTAATTATTTCAAGCTTTGGACAAGTAGTTCATAAAAGATACCATTAGACTCCATATAGAGGAACATCCCTTTTTAGTTTAGATTTCTGTTCTGGTTAGACTTAGACTCCAGAGGATCTGGGTTCAGTTCTTAGCACCTATTGGTGGCCTGTCTGGAACTTAGTCCCAGGGCACTAGGTATGCATGTGGTGCACAGACCCACATGGAGACAAAACATCCATACACATAAAATAAATAAACAAAAAATTAAAGTATAAGCATAGACTGACTGCTGACAACTCTGGAGAAAGGAAAGATGGTGGGAGCTGGGGAATCAGAATGCGTTATACAGGTATACGAAACTGCCTAAAAGTAACAGGTTTAAAAAACAGCAAAGCTGCCGGGTGGTGGTGGCGCCTTTAATCCCAGCACTTGGGAGGCAGAGGCAGACGGATTTCTGAGTTCCAGGCCAGCCTGGTCTACAGAGTGAGTTCCAGGACAGCCGGGGCTACACAGAGAAACCCTGTCTCGAAAAACCAAAAAAAAAAAAAAAAAAAAGAGAAAAGAAAAGAAAGAGCAAAGCATCAAACAGAAAGCAAAACATGTCTCTTACTGAAGTGGGGTGAGTTTGCTATTCATTAAATTTTTTCCACCTTATTTACTTATTCATTTACTTACCTATAAATCTATTTATTTGTCTATTTGTTTATCAAATGGCATACTTGTGTGGAGGTCAGAAGACAACTGGTGGCAGTCAGTTCTCTCCTTCCACCATTTTGGGGGTTACGGATCTAGTCAGATGGTTTGGCTCGGCAGCAGACACCTTTACCAGCTAAGCCTTCTCACCAGCTAGGTCTATTCATTCTTGATAAAAGTTTTTGTTGAGATGGAACTCAGGGCCACACACACTAGACAAGTGCTCTACCACTCAGCGTCTGTGACGACGGTGGTAATATTTTAATATAAATTTTTCAAAAAAAATTAAAAGCGGCATTTGAGAATGGGGTTCAGTTAGTAAGTATCTGCCTAGCATGTACGAGGCCACGGGTTCAGGAGCACCGGGCGTGTAGCGGTACAAGCTGTGGTGGTGTATACCGGTAATCCTTGCACAGAAGGTAGAAAGAGGTAGGAAATCAGGAGTTCAAGGCCATCTTCAACAAGCAGACAGGAGAAGGGGGAGGACCACTCTCAGTCCCTTGCTGGCAGAGGTGTGGGGATGCGCTCCCTGGAAGCGCTAAGAGCAAACACAGCGCTGATATAGGAAGGTATTTGAGGGCTGACAATAAATCCTAACAGGCAAGCTAGGAGAGCTGAGACTGGTTCTGGTGGTGAGTGGAGTCACTGTTGTTTGCACACGCGCACGCACACACATGAACACGCACACACGCAAGCAATGCAACCCAGCGCGGCTCAGGCTGTAAGTGGGCCTCAGGGAAGTGACTGTTAAGGGCAAGTCTCAAATGGGATCTGGTCCAGAGCTGGCGAGGCAAGATATTCATGGAGAGTTGTTTATGATTCTTTCTCCCAAAGCCTGATTTTTCTTTCTCCTTGGTTAGCCCTTGCTGTGTCGCTCTGTAGCAATCTGCCCTTTCTGAATTCAGTCAGCTCCCTCTTCCACCTTGAGAGACAGTGATTCACATAATCCCTTCCCCAGCCTGAACTTTACAAGGACAGAGATGACAGTCTCAAGCTGCCTTAAGCCACCACAAGGCCACCGGCCCCAGTGGAAGTGGGTAAAGTGCCTGTTTAACTTGAGCCAATCAGGATGAACATAGGCAAGAAACTCATTGGTGCGTCTTCCTATACACGGTACACTAATTCTGTTCCTTAAATGGATCACTGAAGGCTGAGGACGGAGCTCAGGGGTACAGGGTTTGCTTTGCATGCCCAGGGTTCTATCCTCAGTACTGCAAAAATGTAGCTTCCAGGAAAGAAGGGAGAAGGGAAGAGAGGAAACCTGAGAAGAAAGGCCAGACAGTAAGTGTATGTTCACACCCAGCCCTGGTCTGGATGGAGCTGAGTCATCTCATCCTGTGCCTTATTCTGGCTATGCCCAAATTCCACCGAAGGTGCTGGCTGCTCCTGGCTGTGTGTCCTTTAGCGTTCCTCTAGTGATCACTTGGGGATCAATGAGAAATGTCAAAAAGAGAGGGGAGTGTCCTAGCCAGAGACTAGAGTGTTTCCCTACTCTCTGTCCACGCTCTGGGTGTGTTTGATGCCAGCTGCTGTGTGTCCACCCTCCCTCTGCCCCGCCCCATTACAACTGCCGCCTGTCAGTCCTTATCCACACAAAGTTAGGCTCTTCCTGGCTTCTAGAAACATGATTTTTTTTTTTTGCCTTTTTAAACACTTGGCTGCTGTTGCTAGCATCTGTGCCCCTCAGCATACGGGCTGGCTTCCTTAGCCCTGTCCCTCACACTGCACTAACTCCCTTTCTACACAATCCCTTGATGTCAGGTCATGATCATGACACTTGCAGTTTTATCCACTGGGCCATCTGGATCCTAAATACATAATTCTTGATGGAGACGTAGCACTCAGAGGAGGTGTGGGGAGTTGTTCTAATATGGCTCAGGGCAAGCTGAGAAACAGCTCTGTCCAGTTCCTCCACTGGCTGAAAGGAGAATCTTCCAGAACCTAAAACACAAAGATGCTTCAAATGGCTAGACAGATAGATGATAGATAGATAGATAGATAGATAGATAGATAGATAGATAGATAGAATAAATTTTGTTTAAAACAGGGACCTAGGAAGAGAAATGGCCAAGAGAGAGGTTTCTGGGGAAGGTGGGCATGAGACTGGTCATAAGTTACAAGTTGGCACAGTTGACTTGGGCCAGGGTCCGCAGAGCATTTAAGGGAAGGGTGTGGGGTGACAAGAGCTGAAGGGATAGCCTGGCCCCATAAAGGTTTCCTACTGTCCCTACCCTAGATGGAGAACTTTGATGAGCAGGTGTGTCAGTCCCTGGTGAATGGAAGTTAACAGAGAAACCAAGTCTCTACTGGGCTCTTCCTTCTTGATTCTAAATTCTTGTTGCTCTGGTAAAGATGCTGAAAGAGCGACGGCATGCCTGGCTCTTCCCCAGATGGTACGCACTTTCTCTCCCTCACTCCACAACCTTGGCGTCTGTCTCCAGTTCCTGGCACCGCACCAATGCACCTTGGGAGCTGGCTCAGTGGAGAAGGCTGTGGGTTTCCAGCCACAGCCTGCCTTGGTGCCTCAAGTTTCCGCCGCCACCCCAGAGACTTGGCCTTTGATTCCCACATCCTCAGCCTCCCCAGAGGCACTGTATCTCATAGAGCACAAAAGCAGCATCCTGTGTACGTCACCCCTGGGAAAGGATGCAAGAGCTGACTGGCTGCAATGTCCCCCTCCCCCATCTCTGCTCGTGTCTGCATTTCTCAACCTGTTTTTCCATGCTTATGCTTCGGCCTTCAGCTTCTTGGGTGTCTTCCTCTGAGCTGCAGTCTTTTCTCTTCTCTTCTCTTCTCTTCTCCTTGGAGTGCCCCCTCTCCCTTCTTTCTCCTCTTTCCCCTCTTCAGCCACCAAAATCTCTGGTTCCTTCTACCCTGTAAACAAGCAGCCTGGCTTCCGGCAAGCCAGCAGGTCTTCCAGGAGCTTTGATCTGACAGGAAGCTGCAGAGTATAGGCTGGACCTGAGAGGTGGATGTGAGAGGAATTGGCTACAGAGGAGGGGGGACATGGCGAACAAAGAAGGTGGACATGTTTTCTGGAAAAACAAAACAACAATAACAACAAAAAAACCCATCCACAGAGGCCTCAAGGGAAGACAGGAAAGGAGGAGAAAGGGACCTCAGAAAAGTCATTAAAGCAACAGCCTCCCTTCACAGGGTCCATCGACACACAAAAAGCACAGGGCCTGTCAGAAATGACAGAGGAGAGGCTTAGAAATGAAGGGACCCTGGAAGGCAAGACACACGCAGAGTACAGGACATCAAAAGAACACAGAGAAGGACCACACAAGAGATGTTACCAAGTGACAATACATACCACACACCTTTCAGAGTCCTTGGGGTTCCTGACACCCTCACAGGGCCCCCAGAGATGGGAGAGGAGGGCACAGTCCCAGCACAGCCCCACCACAACGACAGCCTGTGGTCCCGAAGGCGTTTTCATCTTCTCCTCATGGCCCCCAGTCAGCCCACTCTAGCCCAGTTGTGGGATGTGCCCCCCGCCGCACACTCTTCCTCTGCTGACTAGCTTCGTATAAAACTTCCTAGAGATGTGACCCTCTAAGCGACCCTTGTGGTTCAGTGGCTGCAACCTCTGCCACCCTCTCCTTTGCCTCGGATGCTCACACGCAGAGGGTGGGTGGCAATGGGTGGGGGATCCGTACCCCCTCCTTCTCTTCTCTCTGAAAGAAAGGTCTAAACAGTGCTGTAAGCAGCACTGAACAACGACACCCTATAGATGCTCACACACGCATCTTCCCCTCCGTCATCCCATTTCTCATCTCCATCCAAGGTGTTTAATCCAACAAATATTTACTTGTCTAAAGTGTGCCAGGTATGGCCACCCAGCTCCAACTACTGCCGCTTCACCACAGTGGTCAAGAGCAAGATCCGAGGCCACTTTGAGCCTCTACTTAGAACTGGTTGATTGTGGGGGTGGGTGGGGCGGTCGGGGGGAGACTTTGTACTTAGAGGCAGGCCTCTTCTATGAGAGCCCCAGGTTGAAAGGGAAAACTGGTTCTGAGTATCTGGCTCCTCAGAGGATCTTTCATTAGTGGTTCAGGGCAGCCATTTTGTATCAACCAACAGAATCTAAGATAGCACCAGAAATGGTCAGAACACTAAATAGCACTGGTCTCCCTCATCGGGTTCTCCCGGCCTTGCTTACAAAACAATAACAAGGTCCCTACAAGACCAGGACATTCCGCTATTCCACTCAGTAGAGTTTTTGAATTGTTGTCTATTTTGAAGGATCAGACTGAACCTCAGGAGACCACTCTCCAGGAACAAGTCTACGAACTGAAGGACATTCAGGGGCACAACATGACTTCAAGACCATGTGGCTCTGGGAGAGGAGAAAGGTCTGAGGGTGTGGAGCTAGAGTTGAATAGCTCACTCCATCTTGAGAATAGAGCCCTGCCTTAGGCCCCCTTCGTACCAAGACCCCTGGGCTCTGTAGCCAAGACTAATTCTCTTAGAATTAATTATTCTACCAACATGTCTACCAAAAGAAAAGAAAAGAGTATCCCTTTACTGCAGTTCATAAATAAGAGGCCAGTTTTAACATTTTCCGATAAAGTACCTTCCCTGTCTCCTAACTCAGGGTAACTAAGACAGAGTTCCCTTAGAACATTTCAAAGACCGTAGATATCAGTCCAGACATGTGGCATGTGCCTTGGTCCCCTACTGGGAAACTAAGGCAAAACTATCCCGAGCCCAGGATATTGAGACCAGCCCAGGCAACACCGTGAGACCTCAGAAACAAAACACAACAAGCCAAAATCCTAAAACTTCACAGAAGACAATAGTTTAACAGCCCGAGTGAACACAAAAGAAATTGAATGAGTTCTAAATGGACCATGTGCCTTGCATTGTCCTTAACTGTATGATCCTTGGGGAAGGTTTATAGTGAAGATTTTTTTAATTGCATACAGTCCATTCTTTTTCTTGTGTTTTTTGTTTCTTTTTTTCATTTCTTAATGTCTCCTCCATTCTCAATATCTGTTTCCTCTTTCTAATCTTCAGTCCTCTGCTCAACTATGTCTGCATTTTCTCTCTCCCCAGCTTCCCCCTCCCCACCATTGCCCCCACCCCCCACCATGTCCTGGCTGCGTTTTCTATATGTCAACCATCATCCCTCTGACTTTGCGTTCTAGCTGGGGTGCATCAAGAGGGCACCTACTATGCTTGGGGGGCAGGGGTCGGCAGAGATGAGTATGGCTTACTAATGAGCCTTTCGAAGCTCATGATTCCAGTGGGAGATCACTGCTCACTACCCGTTCTAAGAGGAATACAGGAGCAGGCCAGGCCACATCTGGGAACAGAGAGCTGCATCCAGAACATTCCAGCGCATGAGCTGCCCTCTCCAGCTCCTCTGAAGAACGAAGTTGAACACATCCCTCTTACCTTTGGCCAATCCTTCCTGCTTCTCTCTGCTTCTTGCACAGGTGTGTGTATCTGAGGGCCGCAGGCTTTGCAAATAGGTGCCTAGTGAAGAAGACAGTCTTGCTATGTCTTCACAGATGTTCGTAAAGGAGAAGACAGGAAGCCTGCTCGTGAAGCTCCCCTACACGGCGGACGTGAGCCAGCCCTCAGGAGTCCCTCCCTTCCACCCCCACTTGTTGGGGAAGTTGACAAATTAAAAATGCCAAAGTCATTGGAGATACCTGAGCAGAATCAGGCTGGAGTCTGGAATGTCACTGCTTGTTTGGGGCAGTAAAAAGGCTGACACAGTCTGGTAGGGCTGACATGAGGCCAGGCTTATGAGCATGTAACTGTAACCCCAACACTTGGATGATTTAGGCAGAAAAATCACAAGCTCAAGGCCAGACTGAGCTATCTGTGTAGTAATGCCACGTCAAAAAAAAAAAAAGTTAGCAAGAAATTTAACCAATGGAAAATTCAGATTACATCGCCCAGCAGATCCACGAGGTCGGCTGTTGAGAGATGACAGAGCCCAGAGGGAAACAGCAAGGGTCAGCACAGCTCCATGGCAGCTAAAGACATAGTGGTCTGGTTTTCCCTTACTCCATTGCTGGAGACTGAGTGGGTAGCATATGCCCAAGAAGCTAAAAGCGTGCACGATGAGAATCTTGTGTCTCCTCTATGGAGAAGACATGAGGAAGCCATTTAGACTGCGTGCCCCTTACTGGAAGAGTAGGGTCACAGTTTTGGACAGGTAAGCAAACATGCTACCCTTCCTTTAGTGACAATTTGAGAGCATCTGTGATGATCCCTCCCAGGGATTCTCATTACACACCCGTGAGCACATCTGTGCAATGTGGTTTCTTCCAGGGCTGTGATCAGCAGGGATTATATATCTGGTGCACTGTGGCTGAGAGGTCTGGACTGAAAGATGGACAAGACAAGCATGGCTGTGGAGCACACTGGTGCTAACATTCCCCACATCCTCTAGCCCAGATCTCGCCTAAGCTCTTCGGGGACATGCCCGCCTTCCCGCTGAACAGCTCCACTCGAGTGTTTACCAGAGTGTGGTGGTTTGACTAAGAATGACCCCAGTAGGTTCATATATTTGAATGCTTAGACACCAGAGAGAAGTACTATTTGAAGGGATTATAAGGACTAAGAAGTGTGGCCTTATTGGAGGAAATATATCACTGGAGGAGGTCTTTGAAGTTTTAAAGCCCATGCCACCAGGCCCAGAGGTGTCTCTCTCTCTCTCTCTCTCTCTCTCTCTCTCTCTCTCTCTCTCTCTCCTTACATCAGGATGTAGCTCTCAGCTACTGGTCCAGCACCAAGTGTCCCATCTTGATGGTAACGTAACAGATTCCCTTTGAAACTATAAGCAAGTCCCCAATTAAATTGTTTCTTTCATGAGCATTGCCTTGGTCATGGTGTCTCTTCACAACAACAGGTCAGTAATTAAGACACAGGCATAACAATTTCTATAAATCTCAGGCTAGTTCCGAACTAACTTAGCACCTGGATGCCTTTGTCCCAAGTTTTCCACTGAGTGAGGGCAAGCTACCCAAGCCACCAAATACATCAAACGCAATCTTTAACTTCCTCAGCCCCAATCCCTCCCATGGATCTATTTACAAATTCTTCTAAATGTCTTTAAAATGTCTCTAGGTGACTCTGTACCAATACCACCACTCCAGTCTAGGGTGACACTGCCATCTTATGTTGGCATAGCTCCTGCCCATCTCCTGCCCTCTCCTGTTGGGGTCCAGGTGGTTTACTGTTCCTTTCTTGGGCACAAATCCTGACCCAGATGTGGCCCCATGACTGTCTGACACTGGAAAACTTCAAGCACAGATAAAACCTAGGAAGAATGTCCTCTGGGGCAAAAGAAAGCCACAAGGGCAGCAGAGCTTGGAAGGAAGAACTCTTACAAGGGGGGAAGGTACTGTTTATTCGAGTGTTGTTTGCAGAGATCTCTAGTAGCTAGAAAAACAATATAGAAACAGTGGTAGGGGGGCTGGAGAGATAGCTCAGTGGTTAAGAGCATTGACTGCTCTTCCAGAGGTCCTGAGTTCAAATCCCAGCAACCACATGGTGGCTCACAATCATCCGTAATGAGATTGGATGTTCTCTTCTGGTGTGTCTGAAGACAGCTACAGTGTACTCATAAATAAAATAAATAAATAAATCTTTAAAAAAAAAAGAAAAGAAACAGTGGTAGGGAAAATAAAATCCGCTTATGTCTGTCTGTTTGTTTTTGAGAGAAAGTTTCTCTGTATAACAGCCCAGGCTATACTAGAATTCCATTTATAGACCAGGTTGGCCTCAAAGTCATAGAGATCCTCCTGCCTCTGCCTCTTGAGTCCGGGGATACACCTGGCAAAATTGTTTAGTTTTGAAGTGAACCCAGAGTTTTGGGTCTCTGTCTACCATTACCCACCCATGACTGCTGGGTACCGCCTCTGTGTTCTTCTGCCTTCCTCCAGGTCCTGTTCCACACAGCAGCCGGAGTGATCACTAAAAGGCACACACGTGTTCTGGCCATTTGCCTACTCTGAAAAAAATGGCTGGTTCTGGGCCTAAAGAGATGGCTCAGTGGTTAAGAACATTGGCTGCTCTTCCAGAGGATCCAGGTTCGATTCTCAACACCCACCTGGTAGCTCACAACTGTGTGTAATTCCAGTACCGGGGGATCTGCCCCATCTTCTGGCCTCCTCCAGCACCAGCGCATCACGTGATGTACAGACATGAAGGCAAAATACTCATACACAACAAACAAATGAAAAACAATACAAATCAAAACAACTAAAGAAAGTGGCTGCTTCAGCAAGATGGGCATAGGGGCACGGGAAGAACAAGATAAGAAGCAAGTGTGACTATCTGTACATACGAAGACACCATCGCTGTGATGAGATATATGTGTGAAATCCATCACTGTGCACGTTAACTTTAAACAATAATGGGCTGTGGAGAGAACTCAGCAGTTAAGAGTACTGGCTGCTAGCCGGGCAGCAGAGGTGCTGGGAGGTAGAAGTAGGCAGACTTCTGAGTTTGAGGCCAGCCTGGTCTACAGAGTGAGTTCCAGGACAGCCAGGGCTACACAGAGAAACCCTGTCTCGAAAAAAAACAAAAAACAAAAAAACAAAAAAAAAAAAACAAAAACAAAAAAAGTACTGGCTGCTAAAATAACTAAATTATTAAAAATGATAAGAAGAAGTAAAAGTGTAGTTCGCCGTGTAGCTCCCATGACAGATTGTTTCTACTCTCCACAACCATCTCAACCTCATCTGCACCGAAAGCACTCTCGGCAGCTTCCTGTTTCATAACACGGTGTTCCCAAAGGTTGCATTTTAATAAAATTAAATTTTATTGTTTCACCAAAGACATTGTTCAGTAAAATATGGGCATGTTTTTTAAAATCGCAAGTGCCTGGCAGCGAAGGACCAGGGCGCATTTTCCTGACACTACCTTGCTTTGTGCTGAGGCAGCAGTTTTACCCAGGAAGCTTTTGCAGCCCCACTGGGATGCCGTGCAGCAACGGGCAGATGGCATTCTGTTGCTTTAACGAAGCGACCTTGCCCTTTAAGGTTTCAGGGTCTCCTTCGGGTCCATGGGTCATACTTATACATTGGGAACCACAAATCTAGGGAATTTTTTATTCATTCTTTAGATTGTAGCTGTCTTTTTATTTAGCTATGTCTCAAATTGGTTTTCTTTTTCTTCTTACTAATAGACTCCCCCATTTTTTATTCTCTCTCTCTCTTTCTCTCTCTCTCTCTGTCTCTCTCTCTGTCTCTCTCTCTCTCTGTCTCTCTCTGTCTCTCTCTGTCTCTCTCTCTCTCTCTCTCTCTCTCTGTGTGTGTGTGTGTGTGTGTGTGTGTGTGTGTGTGTGTGTGTAAGGGGGAGAGAGATAAAGGGAGAACGAGATGTTATTCTGTATAGGTAAACGTACAAGTGTACCAGTGATCGCATGTAGAGGTCAAAGGACAATCTTGAGTGATGTTGGTCTCCACCTTCCTCCTCGTGTGAGGAAGGCTCTCTTGTCCTCTGCTACATACCTTGGCCTGTGAGCTTGCTGGGGTTCCTCTGTCTCTGCCTCCCATCTCACTGTAAGAGTGCTGGGGTTCAGACATTCACTATTGCATCTAGCTGGCTTTGTGTAGGTTCTGGGTTCCAGGTTCCAGCCTTCACACTGGCAAGGCAGACGCTTAACACACTCAACCATCTCTCTAGCCCCAGAACCCACAATTTTTAGCTGAACTCAGTTTTTATTGATTATTTATTTTAAGATGGGTTCTTACAATCTTGCCCAGCCTGATCTCCAACTCCTGGCTCAGACAGTCCTCCTGTCTCCTCTCAAGTAGCTGGAATTACAGGCCTGCCGTTAGCAACCAGATATAACACACACTTACAAGCTTTCTTTGCAGTCATTCTGGCCAAGTGACTCAGTTTTGTGAATGAATTGAAGTGAATGTGTCAGACAAAACCTCTGAGTTGCTCTTTAAAAGCAGCTAGGTGTTGATTCCCCTGCCTGGGGCTTTCTTTTCTTACAGTCTGCTATGCAAACTCTTCCCTATAACCTATAGCCAGCCCTCCATTCTCATCTGCATTACCTAGCAGGCTTCCCTAGGCAGTTGAATTTGTGACTGTGCTCTAGACCTATCCACCCACCCACCTACCCATTTATCCACCCATCATCCATTCACCCACCTGTCTTAGTTAGGGTTTTACTGCTGTGAACAGACACCATGACCAAGGCAACTCTTATAAGGACAACATTTAATTAGGGCTGGCTTACAGGTTCAGAGATTTAGTCCATTATCATCAAGGTGGGAACATGGCAGCATCCAGGCAGGCATGGTGCAGGAAGAGCTGAGAGTTCTACAACTTCATCTGAAGGCTGCTAGCAGAATACTGGCTTCCAGGCAACTAGGATTAAAGCCCACACCCACAATCACAAACCTACTCCAATAGGGCCACACCTTCTAATCCTGCCACACCCTAGGCAAAGCATATACAAACCATCACACCACCCACCTATCCACCCATCTACTCACCCATCTATCCATCCACCCACCCATCCACCTACCCATCTACTC